ATCATCAATGCATCTAACCAACAATTTAGAGTTAGTATTGTCTCTTCCAGAAAGTAATTCTCAGGTTGTTCGCCAGGATAGGAGCTAGGCAAGATTCCCTTGCAAGTCCTTGTGTTTGTTCACATAACTTATCATTATGGGTAAAATATGTGCTACTTATGGATAGGTTAAGAAGTCTATCTATGAACATTGCTCAGCCTAATTCCTTGTGTAATATCTGAATGCTCCTCCAGCGTGTGTACTAGAGCCTGAATAGCTCCTTTAACATGAATGCTTGTATACATAGATACAACATCAAAATTTATTAGCCTATCTTTAAAAGTTACTTGCTGATATACTAAATAGAGTCAAAATTCGGCAATTTTCCTTAGTTGTAGGCATAAAAACGTGAGATTGTATACATTATGCATTCTTTAGCATTTACAATTAATCTAAAAGGTACACTCTCCATGCAACTCGTGGAGGCCCTTGCATCTCTCTGACGTAATACATTCATTTTTTACTTCTCTCTTTCACTATTACTAAGTCATACCTTAAGAGCATCCTTCAGCCTAGTCTAAAGTCTTTCTGTTGGATCTCTCAGTTAAGGCCTATACGTGTCAGTGTCATTTGAATAAATTAGCATTTTTCCACATAACTTGACCTATCCATGCCTCGGCTTTCAGAACAATTTGGTTATTGCCACTTAAATATCTAGAAGCCCCACTAAGAACACAAGGATTCTTTGATGGAATTTTTTGGTCGAATTGAGGGATCATCACCAGATTAATACTATTCTTTACCTCTTCAGATAATCTATCACGTAAGCTGATTAATTCAGCAAGTATGTTCGGATAATAATTTACCTCATTTTGAAGAGCAAAATTAAATCCTCTTTCCAATAAATGTTCTTCATTATCCTTTAAAGTTATGCTGGATAAATTGATTACCTCATCCTTCCAAGTTTGTTACAAGCATGGTTACTACAACTTATTTTAGGACAAAATTCTCGATTTAATTTTAATTCCAAAGTTTCGGAGCTTCTTATCTTGTATGCCGTTCTATCCATGGCCTATCTTAACCCGTTAGCTATATCTTGTAACTTAACGAAATCTACATCAGTCACTTCTTCAAAAATGGTTTATCTAGGTCTGATTTTGGTTATAATATTAGGCGTACTCTGTTAATGCTTTCCCTGAATCATGTTTATAACAAACTGGGGAAGGATAAGGTAATCACTCACTCGTCCAACATGTTAGCTTAAGCTTATCAACCAAGCCAGGCGTATCAGATTACGCAGACCCAGTCATGCCGTTCCTTGTGTGGTTAAACCCTAATGACTTTAGATTGATAGGTTTGGACAGGTGGTTTCGTAACCTGAATTATACGCTTACAAGCTTACATCTCATTATCTTACGGAATTACGTAGTCTTGGTCAGGACTTTTTCTTTTTCTTTGGGTTATTAGACCTCCTTGACCAGAGCCTGACATTATCCTTTTTTGATCAGTTTGATTCAGGACCAGTTTTTTGCAAAGAGGTTATAACACACACGTACATATTAGAGCAAAAGTAGCAGGACCAATAGGAAGGATAATAAGTTAAACCATTCTATATCTATCTTTAAATATTCATTTTATTTTTCTTAATTAAATATTTATAAGAGGTAGTCTTCTTGAACTAGTGTTAACATGAAACTTTTACAAGAATCTGTTTTAACTATGATTCTGTCCGTCATATAATGGATGAAAGCGCACTCCGTTTCTACTCAAAACGATGCAGGATGTCTCGTGGACTGCGTCAACCGGAAAATCGTATTTAAGTAAAACGGCTGCAGTTCAACAGGAATCAGCCGTTCTCTTCCGATGAGATCGATCTTCGAATGTCTTCATGCATTTTCATACGAAATGAAAGTCTCATCGAAACCCAGTTACTCTTTATTTTTAACTTGAATATTATTTTTGTATTTTGCGTACGATCTCGAAGTAGCTTCTCTATCCAAGCTTCACTTTGATTATCTCCCATCTTGCAAGAGAGCTTTCTGGATTCCTACTTTGCATTGCTAAGACCCATTTTTAAAATTTCAGCATTCATATTCAATATTTTAATAATTTTGCCATCTTATTGATAGTGACAAACATCAGGATATATTAAGGATATTTCATCACTGCTTTCTCTTTTATAATTATAGTTCCGTGATGCCCAACCGCCTTCCTCTCTGAGGCAGCAATCCGATATACCCATCGCTGAGTTGGAAAATGTTGAAGATGACCTTGCTACAGCCAACAGCTGTGAAGCACATTCTTTTCTTCATCGTCCGTTTAATAGTCGCCGCCCAAAGGACATCTTAGACAATCTCAACACCGGCGATACTGACAGAGACACTTCCCCTCAGTCAGATGGCCTTCCCAAGGCAACTCCTCTCCTTTCAGCAGCGAAAGATATTTTCGTACAGCGAGTGAGTGGATCTAAGTTTAACGGATTTTCCCAACTGTCGTCCTTAGATCCTGAGGAGATGCGGTCCTCATTTTGACGGGCTTTTGCTGCGTCTCTTTGATTTCATTCTTCTTATTTATGCTCTCCATTTTAAGAATCTTTTAGGACATGATGTTAATCTGATATTTTTCTGTAAGCCCTATTAGTCAGATCTAAATTACCGTTTTTATTTGCCAACCTTATTCATCCACATTTATTTTGCTTTGATTTTTCCACTAGCTTCCTGCTAAAATCGGTTCAAACTGAATGGATCATGAATCTAAGTTATCAAGCTATTCATAAAGTGCATAATTCAAAATGCTTCTGCATTGCACTTTCCTAATGAGGGAAATCCCTTCTATAATCGTAATATCTTCCACTCTCCTTTATGTACTTCTTCGCATCATCTTTCACACATTTTTGTTTGGGATGCGCCAGTCCTACATATTTTATCCGTTTTTCTATATATTACAATGTTTCTCAATGCGAGCATAGTCTACACTGATTGGTGTCCTTATCCTCGACTTTTAAGTCCACTTCAGTGTTCCCAAGTGGGTATATCAGATTTAATTTTTTTTCAAATTTTACTTGGTTTGATTTCAGGCCTGCATTACGTTTTATAAGCGTCATCAAGCACAAGAGTCTTTTCATTTTTTACACTCTGAACATTGTTCTGACGAAGTTTTTCCTTGCCCTGTTCTTATAACTTCCAAAGCCTAGCTTATCTCTTCGGTTAATTATTGACACAGAGGATAGACCTTATTTGCTTCTATTATCTTCAATTACTCACATATCTTCCTTCTTTTAAACTGGAAACTTGGCAACCAGTATTTCCTGTTTACTAGATGATGCCATCTGTATTTTCGAATACTATTCCGCAAAGATTAATCACCTTAAATGGTTTTATTTATTGCTCTATGATCGACATGCCATCAAATGTTAATCTTTATCAATACACCAAAAACCACTCAAGATTGGCGTGCATATGCAGCATTCATGCTCCTGACAACTTTGATAAAACTGTTAAGGGCAATTTTTGTAATGTGTAGTATTTACCGGTCAGGCACATTTGGCTATCATTACGAAGTTCTCAACAAAGCCTTTCATATATATATATTCCAATGCAGATCAAAATAATAGCGTATCAATCTTCCTTGTTTCCCGAATTTATTCTTCCACGGCCTAGAGCTTCTGGTCACTAGGTAGCCTGGGCAAAGTTTATAG